AGAGTCGTTCACCACTCAGAGAGGCCTTCACACACACACACACACACACACACACACACACACCACACACACACACACACCACACACCACACAACACACACACACACACACACGTCCAGCACTACAAAATTGGCAATAATGTTGTTTATATTTGCCCCATTATCCCGTCCACACACACACACACACACACACACACACACAGTAATGCAGAGTTGGAACAGAGAGCTCGGCCATAATGAAATAATTGCTCAGCTTATTTGTACATTATGGTAATTATGTTTTTTACTGGGAAATTAATTTACCCATCATGCTTCAGATGGACGAGAGAGAGAGAGAGGTAAACTATATTCAAAAACACACACACTCCAGCTAATGTGGGCACCGCCGGGGTAAACACACACACAGAGCGCCGGGGTCAGATGTGAAGCCAGCCTCTCAATCTGAATAGAAAACAGTTTGTTTTTGTGTGTCCGCCTGGAGAGCTCGGATTGGTTAATTGGGCCTCGTTAGTGAGGGGGAAGAGGAGGGGGAGGAGGTGGAGGTGGAGGGGTTGATGGAGAGATGGACGACAGATGGATAAAAGAGTGTTTGGGCCAAGAGACAAAGATGGCTCCACTCCATAAACTGGCTGACAATAACTACACCTGGATTTCGTTTTTTTTTGTTTTTGGTTCATTCAGAAGTAAAAAAAAAAATGTTTCCAAACTTTCAGTTCCAGCCGGATCAGACTCAGCGTCGCAGATCTAGCAGCTGATCTGAGTTATTCCAGTTCATCCGGAGGGGAACGTGAACCCCGTCCAGTCGCTGTTAGGCTAGAACATCGACTTCGACTAGAGGCCAAATACCTCGGCCAAGACCGAGACCTGAGCCAGCCGCTCTACCGGCTGCCTCCCAACGCCGCACACTAAAACAAGTAAAACGCTGCAGGGGAGTCAACGTGTCCGACCGCAAAAGGTCAAAACTTTCTCCTGGGAGCAAAGTGCAAAGACACAAAAGTGACTCCCTCCCAGACAGCAGCAGCAGCAGAAGACACAAAAGCTTCCCATTGAAAGAATCCACTCTCAAACTTCTCCCAGCCTGCATCTGTGCAAGAGACAAATCTCTCCACAGGATCCATATCAACAACACAAATCGGCAAGGAATGCCTCTAGTTCATCAGTCAAACACTACTAATGAATCTTAAAGGGTAACTTTGGTATTTTTCAACCTTTCAACATATTTTTTCATGTCTCTGTGTCAATGTGAGGAAACGGGACAACACATTTTGAATTTGGTCCAGTATTGAGCGAGCACGCTGCAGCTGCCAGCCGTGGAACAGCGTCAAAGTTCGTCCACTAATAAGAGTTTGTTTTTGCCACTGACAGGCTCAGATTGTTGAAACAAGTGTCTGACAACATTATGGAAAGGATCCCAACAGAGAGAGAGCTTTTTTTTAAAGAGTAAGATCCTTTTTGTTTAACCAGAAACGGTTACTGTATGATCTCTCGTCAAAGCCACCAGACTCCATTAATAAAAACAGTCATTTTACCTTGCAGAACAGGGTGTTTGCTATTCTGCTATTCTGCTATTCAGTTAGTTATTTAGTGTTAATGTGTGACTTTTGGTGTTTTTGTTTTGCTTTTGCCATTTTAAAGGGTAAAAAACAACAAAGTTACACAAAACTAAACTGTCGAGGCAGCTTTAGACCGGAGAGGTTAAATTACTCAATTATTCAATGGAGTCTGGTGGCTTTGACGAGAGATCATAATGTGACCGTTTTCCGGTTAAACAAAAAGGATCTAACATGAGAAAAACACATGTGATGGTTAACAAAAAGAGAAAGACTTTAATTTAACAAAGACTAACTTGCCTATTGAAAGGTAACAGAAATGGCCGTGACACATGTAAGATATGTTACGGTAGCGTGGGGACCCCACAGATGGTTTCTGGGTGTTTGTGAGTAGAGATATGAAAACAGGTGTGAACACGTTTCTCTCTGCGACCACAGATCATGTTGAACTCTCTCCATAAGTACGAGCCTCAGCTCCACATCGTGTGCGTCGGCTCTCGCCATCGTCTGGTCTCCAACGTGTCCTTCAAAGAAACTCAGTTCATCGCCGTCACGGCCTACCAGAACGAAGAGGTACACACACACACACACACACACACATATATATATATATATACACATCTGACCAGTTAGATTTGGTGTTCAGCAGCTGAAATGAGTGACGGTGTGAGTCTTTTTATTCATGTTTATTCTGGAGAGAGACTTGAAAAGAAAATATTAGATATATTTATTCTGTTGTTTAACTGCTGGAGTTAAACATTTATATTTTAATAAAATGTGTCTTTCTGTGCAGATCACGGCTCTGAAGATCAAATACAACCCGTTTGCTAAAGCCTTCCTGGACGCCAAAGAGAGGTACGACTTCCTGTCTGTGGCTGCGAGCCCGCTGGTTCCTACTGAAGACGTAGATCTTTAAAAACACCCAGAGTGTTTGCATTTTAATCTACCGTATACTACATAATAATACTACTACTTGTGTACTTTTAATGCTGATACTTTAACTACTTAAAGCTGAAAGTACTTTTGTACTTTTACTTAAGTTGTACTTTAAATGCAATATTTTTACTTATAATGGAGAATTTTAACGTAGTTGTTTTGCAACTTTTTCTTCAGTAAAGGATCTGAGTACTCACTGTGTTTGTGTTTGATTTATCCTCCTCAGGAACCCAAGTGGACGGGGTCTACCAGAGTCTTTGGAGGTCGAGCTGGGATTCAACCCTGTGAGTCGCGGCACTGTTGGTTCATCCCTCACATACATGAATCAGTTATATATATATATATATATATATATATATATATATATATATATATATATATATATATATATATATTTATCAATTAAAAATATTATATTTTTATAATATTTAAATCCAAATTTTTTTTTAATCATATTTTTGTTTTTTGTGTGTGATATATGGAACCATAATAAAAATAAATACTAAAAACAGAATAAAAGTAAGATCCAAGTAACTGAAAAAGTACAATGAATAACATCGATCACCCTCCACATATGATTTATTTATTTATGGTAACTGTTTCATCTTGAAGCCACAGAACATTAACATTATTTTAAAGACCTTCTTTATATCTCACCAACCTCACATTTATTTTAAAACAAAATCCAAGATGGCCGTCAGTGCTGCTGTTCTGTTACATTATCAATTGGAATAATTGATTAGATTAATAAATGAACTTTGTGTGTGTCAGGCTGGTCGCTGTGCTCAGCTGGAGGGGGCGGGGCTTTTCCTTACAGCAGCAGCCTCCCGCTGACGTCACATCATCACCACGGGTATAAACACCACGGATATCCAGGGCGTCACACACCTTACCCCACCGCCTACCTGCCACACCGCTCACACTCCTCAGGTAGCTCTGTGTGTGTGTGTGTGTGTGTGTGGACATTTTTATATACAGTAATTTATTTATTTTTGCTGTTCTAATATAATATAAAACTAACTAAGAATAAGGATGTTTATTTTTTAAATAAAGTATATTTATATAGATAAATATATTTTATAAATACGTACAGTTGTGTACTTACTATACAGTTGCATGTAAACACATTGTAATCAATGAGCACCTATTTAATTTGTGTTGTGTCAGTTTGTCTGCCCGAAGGTGTTCAGGTGCTATCAGACGGATGGAGCAGCACCTCCCCTCGTCCCACCTCCTCCTCTTCCTCTTTACCCTCCACCGCCTCCCTTCCCCTGACCAGCAGCGCTCCTTCCTCACAGCCTCCTCCTCCTCACAACTCCAGGTGAGGCCCCGCCCACAGCCCTATATGGTAATGGTACAGTAAGACCAAGTAGATTCTACGCTGATTGTATTAAACAAGCTGTTTATAAATATAAATGTTTGTGTTCAGTCAGTATCCCTGTCTGTGGACGGTTGGATGCAGTGAGCTAAGCCCCTCCCACTCACCCTGCGCCGCTCTCCACGGACCAATCAGCAGCGAGAGCCTCATGCAGCCTCCCAGTCACGGCAGAGTGAGTGGTGCTGGCTGGCCGCCTGGCCCCACCCACTCTTTTTGAGGATGTGATTGGCTGAATGGAAGACTACTGGTTACTTTTTGTACATAGTGCTAACCACTGGTGGCTACTAGTATTTACTTGTGGGCTACCAGTATTAACTTGTGGGCTACTAGTATTCACTTGTGGGATACTAGTATTTACTAGTGGGCTACCAGTATTTACTGGTGGGCTACTAGTATTTACTTGTGGGCTACTAGTATTTACTGGTGGGATACTAGTATTTACTTGTGGGATACTAGTATTTACTGGTGGACTACTAGTATTTACTTGTGGGCTACTAGTGTTTACTGGTGGGATACTAGTGTTTACTGGTGGGATACTAGTGTTTACTGGTGGGATACTAGTATTTACTGGTGGGCTACTAGTAAATACTTGAGGGCTACCAGTATTTACTGGTGGGATACTAGTGTTTACTTGTTGGATACTAGTATTCACTTGTGGGTTACTAGTATTTACTTGTGGGCTTCTTGTATTTACTGGTGGGCTACTAGTATTTAAAGGTGGCTACTAGTATTTAATTGTGGGCTACTAGTATTTACTAGTGGGCTACTAGTATTTAAAGGTGGCTACTAGTATTTACTAGTGGGCTACAAGTGTTTACTGATGGGCTACTAGTATTTACTTGTGGGCTACTAGTATTTAAAGGTGGCTGCTAGTATTTACTTGTGGGCTACAAGTGTTTACTGATGAACTACTAGTATTTACTAGTGGGCTACTAGTATTTAAAGGTGGCTACTAGTATTTACTAGTGGGCTACAAGTGTTTACTGATGGGCTACTAGTATTTACTTGTGGGCTACTAGTATTTACTAGTGGGCTACTAGTATTTACTAGTGGGCTACTAGTATTTACTAGTGGGCTACTAGTATTTACTGATGGGCTACTAGTATTTACTTGTGGGCTACTAGTATTTACTTGTGGGCTACTAGTATTTACTTGTGGGCTACTAGCATTTACTTGTGGGCTACTAGTACCAGTAATTGTTTGTACATACTAGTAACCTCAGGTGGTGGTTTATTCTGGTTACCAGTGACTGTTGTTGAATGTTTTTACATACTGGGGGCTACTGGTATATTCCGGTGGCTGTTTGCACATGCTGGTAACAACTGATGGTGACAATTCACCACTGGTGACTATTTGCACATACTGTTGCATACCACTGGTTGCCAGCCGTAAGTATCGGAAGCCAATTGTACATACTGGTAACCACTGGTGGCTACCTAGAAGTACTGGTGGTTATTTTTACAAATTGGTGGCTATGACTGGAACTGACAGTTTGTAAATACTGGTGCCACTGCTAATAACTGGTTTTGGCTAATGGTATCTACTGATGGCTAACCTGTATTAGCTTCTGACAGCTAGTAGAGATCGGTGATTACTGAAGGTCTCTGCTAGTTGCTACTGGTTGCCAATAGTAGCCACTGGTAAATACTGGTGGTTAGTATCTCATAATGATTGGGTGAAACTACCAATGGGTGCTGGTGACTTTTAGTCAACAGTTGCTATATAAACCGCCGTATTAATTGCGTGTAAATATATATTTATCATAATTTTATTTCTGCAGTTAATAATTATAGAAAATTAGCCTGTCAACGTTATACCATTAAAAAGAAAACAGTCCTGATGATGATTATTTAAAATAGTTTTTCCTATCAACATGATCAGAGGATCTATATACTGGTTTTGTTGGTGTGGTGGCGCCCTCTGGTGTTGGAGGTTAATGGGAGGGTACTGACAGCTGGTTGTTCTGCCTGTCTTTATTCCAACATGTATATCTGTACAGTCCATCAGCTGGGGTTGATATTTGATTGACAGGGCTCGTTGCTAATCACCTTTATAAAGTAAAAAGACATATTTCCAGTCCTGGTTAGTCTGTTATTTCAGCTGCTGCGTGTTTGTTGTTGTCTACCTACTTCTGGAAAGCAGAAACAAATAAAATCAAATTTCATATCTGTTCCCTGTGGAAATACTGACTTGTTTTTCTTCTTCTTCTTCTTTCTTCTTCTTCTGCTCTTTGTTGTTCGCTGCTGCATGACGTTTACAGCATGGATGAGACAGAAAAACAGAAGGGTTGCTGTTATTCTGCTCTGTGTCAATAAAGTTTTAAAGGAAAAAATAGCTTGAAATATTTTAGTTTTCCTCAACAAGAAGAAACCTTCACTGGGAAATACAGAAAGAGAGTTAACTGCAACAAAAAACCCCAAACAGAAATAAAACATCAGGTAATGAACGAATAATAAGAAATGATTAAAATAGAAACACAGAGACTAACTGTTATAACCATATGTTTAGTAAAAATAATGAGTAAGTCAACCAGTGTCATATTGTGTATGTAAATTGTGTATTTCTGACTGTGTATTTGTCACTGGATGTACTGTATGTTTATTTTTGTCCAGAGGGTCAAATAAAGAAAGAAAGAAATGAATTATTAAACTACAGATTTTTCAAGTACTACGTGTTTTGTTTTTTTCTTGGTCGTTCTACTTGAACGGTTTGAAATATCTCAGCTTTAACATGAGTTCACGGTAAACTCCAAAAAGTAATAATTGGGTTTAACTATTTATGTATTTGAGATTTTATTATTATATATGTGCCATTTATTTTGAGGAAATGCTGTTTCAACTTGTGGCTGGAATATTATTTGGTCTGATGTAGATACATTAAGTCTGAAAAATGATGGAATCACTTAAAATATGAAACTTTTGTCTTTAAACTGTAAAGGTTTGTGAAATCTATGGAGACTTTTATTTCGAAATAAAACCTCTTATTCTGAAACACCACCGGAAGTGTACCTTACAACCCGGAAGTTTTAGTGCACCCCGGTGAGCAGTCCGAGTTTATCTTCGTTTAACCGAGTCTGTCCGGGCATGTTCTGGATTAAAGCTTCATTTTAAAGGTACATTATTCTTTATTTGTTAGTGCGACAGTTTGTTTTGTGTCTGAAGCTTGAAAACCGCGATTTAACAGCAGTTTTCAACCCGCAGTTGATGAATTAACGGGTCAGCATGCTAACGTTAGCTGTTGCTCCGTTAAGTTTGACACGCTAATAATAATAAAAGTCTTAAAATAAAATAAATTAAGCTTCTCTGTAACTCAACATCATTTTCAACTGAATATATGCTCGGACCAAAATGTATTTAAGTATTTCAACTTGAGCTGTGAGGAATTAAAATGAACATTTCTGACTTTTAATGGACGAAAAGATGCATAAAAACGTAAATGAACAGTGTTTCCATGTGTTTAGTTACTTTATCTCAGATCTAATATTATGAGTTAAAAGCAGCTCGTTCCTGTCTGTCCTCAGGTTGGAGTGGCTGCTGAACCAGCAGGCAGTCATGGCTCACATCACCATCAACCAGTACCTGCAGCAGGTGACCTCTGACCCCTCACACACTTAGTCCATGTCACCTGATGTGTGCTTCAGCGAGAGAGGCTGTGAGGGCCCCGCATTACATTTATTCATTCAGCTGAGGTCACAATGGGAAAAACACCGAAGGCATGTGACTTATCCACGGCTCACGACAGTGGGACGCGCCGCGTGAGGCCAAGAGTGTAGAGGTTGTGGCCCAATCACAACGTCCACACTCACAGACTCGCACGGTGAGTCCGTGAGGGCTCAGGGCCGTCCCACTGTCACATCGTCGAGTGCGTGGGGGCGCTCACACTGACCCTTTATGCACCTATACAGGTCCGTTATCTGCAGACTTTGCCTGAGAAATTACCCACAGTTCATTACGTTGTGACGTGAAACACGGGGTCACCAAGTGAAGCCCGGAAGTGAGAGGAAAAATCTGAGCAAATCCGCTTTATAAGAGAAGAAGAAGAGTAAAAGACCAACCCTGACGTTAACGCGGTTAGAAGACGGTTCACAGAACTCATGAAATCAGAGGAACGCACCTTATGACACATTATTTATGTTAGTTTTTGCTCAGTGATGCTGTTTTGACAAACAATTAAAGGTTTATTGACAACTACAGATCATTATTGACACTCTGCAAGACGTATAAATCCGGCAGGCGGTTCCTTAAGTGCCTCGATGCAAAGAAAGTAAAATAAAAAGTGTGCAACGTGTTTCAGTGTCGTCAAGGTAACGTGATAAAGTGCTGACCCGTTCCCGTTGACAGCGTTTTGAGCCCTCACAGCCTCTCGCACTCAGTCACTAACCAGGTGACGTCTTCTTGTTCGTGTGACCTCCAGAGGGCGCCACGATCTTCACATGTTCTATTTAATTGGCGCGTTTGACTTCCTGCGGCGCTGACTTAACGTGACGCACATTGGATTTAAAATAAGGCACGCTGGTTAGAAAGTTTGTCCGACTTTCGCCAACGCTGCAAAAGGTCACATGTCCCTCGCGGGAGAAAGGCGGCTGCTGTTGCTTTTCTCCGGCTGCTCAAAGTTGGAACGACCTTTCGCCTGGTCTGAGATCAGTCATTGATCTGAGCTCACGCAGGTAAAATGTGTCCGACTTGAAGGCGCCGTTTTTATTCCCCGCCCCCGCAGCTCACGTTAGACCATCAAGTTGGCGAAAGTCAGCCGCCGTCATCTCGAACGCACCTATTGTGCGTGGAGTCAGGGCCCTGATTCTTCTTCGTTGGTGTTTATCACCCACAGGTTTACGAGGCCATCGACAACCGCGAGGGCCCGTTCTGCGCCGAGCTGCTGTCCTTTAAACACCCGCATGTCGCCAACCCCCGGCTCCAGGTGAGGCTCCGCCCCCTCGGGTAGACACCAAGCGTCGTTAGGATACAGCCTCACCTGTGTGTGTGTGTGTGTGTGTGTGTGTGTCACAGCTGGCCAGTCCAGAAGAAAAGTGCCAGCAGCTCCTGGAGCCGCCGTATGATGAGATGGTCGCCGCTCACCTCAGGTAGGACAGCCAGGGGCCAATCAGGGGCCAGTCTATCCTCATTAACTGTGAGAGGACGTCAGCAGTTATTGATTATGTTTCTGATGTGATGAGTCATTTTGTTGCTAAGGGGCCGTGAAGTGACCGATGGTGAGACCGCAGGTAACCATAGTAACAGGACCGATCCATTACCAGGTCTCACTGTGCGCGTGTGTTACAGGTGTACCTACGCAGTGGCCAATCACGACTTTGTTGAAGCCTACAAGTTCCAGACGCTCGTCGTTCAATATCCTTTACTGGTGAAAACGCACACAGACAAAGTCACACTGCAGCTGTGACGCGCCTCAAATCAATAATCGATCGTGTTGCTCCTTGACCTCTCACATCCTTCCTGAGGGCCTTCCAGTCCCACAAAGAGGAGAACTGGTGAGTTCAGACAGGCGTTAGCGTAGTTTAGCACAAAGCTTCCTCCATGTTCCTCTGAGGATGTAGTAACTCTGATGATCCTTTTCCTCTAGCGCCACCTTCAGGTCAACACGTTAATGTCTCCAACACTCTGGTTTATCAGCCTCAGCTGAACTTTGTGTTTAGTGCTAATTAGTTAATGTTAGCATGGCCCATATTACACCTGTTAAACATCAGCGTGTTAGCATTAGCTCAGCCTCACAGAGCGGCTAGCACGACTCTGTGGCCCAAATCCTACATCTTAAAAATACTACATGTTAATTCTGTAACATACTCATCGTTATATTACACAAAAACCTTTTATACCAACAGGAAAGGATCAGATACACAAGATTTAACACAAAAACATGCACAATTTCCACGCAGCGTCAGTGAACGCAGCGTCAGTGAACGCAGCGTCAGTCTGCAGAACGCTCAGCTTGTGTGTTTGTGCTTTCAGGGCTCTCTCGGTGATGTTCGCCGTCACTCTGGATCTCAGAGTATTTGCCAACAATGTAAGAGACTGTAGAGACTGATCAGTGATGGAGGTGATGATGATGATGATGATGAAACTGACCTTTGACCCCGTGTTCAGGCGGAGCAGCAGCTGCAGAAGAAGAGTAAAGGCCAGCCCGGAGAGATGCTGGAGAAAGCAGCCGAGCAGCTGATGAGCTGCTTCAGAGTGTGCGCCAGCGACAAGTCAGTACAAATACGCACTGAATCCAAGTTCAACAGAAGGTTATTGACTGTGTATCGATTCTCATTCAGACTCTTCTTGTTCCTGCAGTCGCGCTGGGATCGAGGACTCGAAGAAGTGGGGGATGATGTTTCTGAGCAACCAGCTCTTCAAGATCTACTTCAAGGTCTGAACTCAGCCGAGCTGTTCGTTCATTAGTGACTCGAACCGATTCACGACAAACAAGTCAGATTAATTCATCTCTAACTAGATTAGAGATTAAAGTTAAAAACATTTTGGGATCAGAGACAGAAAGTTACAAAAGTTAAGACCAAAATGAAAAAAATTCTATAATGAAAATAAAAGTAGGTTCTCAGATTAAAGTTGTAATTATTAATTGTAAAAATCTCTACATTTCTTTCTCCTCATATTGGCCTGAATACTCAGTTGTAATAGTTATTGATCAGTGTGACAGTTGAAAATTAGCCTGCTGGCTAACACTGGCACATTTACAGAAATGTTGATTAATGTGCACTGTCCTTAAATAAATAAATGAAATGAAATGAAATGTTGTTGTGATCAGCAGCACTGAACTGTACTTTACACGTGTAACAACACTGTTACCTGTTTTCATTTGGTGATCGATCAGATCAATAAGCTGCACCTGTGTAAGCCTCTGATCAGAGCCATCGACAGCTCCAACCTGAAGAACGACTACAGTCCCGCTCAGAAGGTCACCTACAAGTACTACGTGGGCCGCAAAGCCATGTTCGACAGCGACTTCAAGCCAGGTAAGTCTGAGGGGGTACTACTGCAGTACTAACAACTCAGAGAGGGTACTACTGCAGTACTAACAACTCAGAGGGGTACTACTGCAGTACTAACAACTCAGAGGGGGTACTACTGCAGTACTAACAACTCAGAGGGGGTACTACTGCAGTACTAACAACTCAGAGGGGTACTACTGCAGTACTAACAACTCAGAGGGGGTACTACTGCAGTACTAACAACTCAGAGGGGGTACTACTGCAGTACTAACAACTCTGAGGGGTACTACTGCAGTACTTATACTACAGAGGGGGTACTACTGCAGTACTAACAACTCTGAGGGGTACTACTGCAGTACTTATACTACAGAGGGGGTACTACTGCAGTACTAACAACTCTGAGGGGTACTACTGCAGTACTTATACTACAGAGGGGGTACTACTGCAGTACTAACAACTCTGAGGGGGTACTACTGCAGTACTTATACTACAGAGGGGGTACTACTGCAGTACTAACAACTCTGAGGGGGTACTACTGCAGTACTTATACTACAGAGGGGGTACTACTGCAGTACTTATACTACAGAGGGGTACTACTGCAGTACTTATACTACAGAGGGGGTACTACTGCAGTACTAACAACTCTGAGGGGGTACTACTGCAGTACTAACAACTCTGAGGGGGTACTACTGCAGTACTAACAACTCTGAGGGGGTACTACTGCAGTACTAACAACTCTGAGGGGGTACTACTGCAGTACTTATACTACAGAGGGGGTACTACTGCAGTACTTATACTACAGAGGGGGTACTACTGCAGTACTTATACTACAGAGGGGGTACTACTGCAGTACTTATACTACAGAGGGGTACTACTGCAGTACTTATACTACAGAGGGGGTACTACTGCAGTACTTATACTACAGAGGGGGTACTACTGCAGTACTAACAACTCTGAGGGGGTACTACTGCAGTACTAACAACTCTGAGGGGGTACTACTGCAGTACTAACAACTCTGAGGGGGTACTACTGCAGTACTTATACTACAGAGGGGGTACTACTGCAGTACTTATACTACAGAGGGGGTACTACTGCAGTAATTGTCATTGTGTAGCAGGTACTTGTACCCGGAGGTACGCACTGTACATAAATATTTGGCTCTATAAACCCTACAGATTTAACTCACACCATTTATTTAGTGTTTATTTCACGACCACTTTCTTATTTTTTAAATAAATGTTGACAAATCAGGACCAAGGTGTGTCTGATGTTTTCCAAATCTTAGGCAGAAGAAATAAAACATCGTGTTAATTATCCAAACTGTGTCTCTGCAGCCGAGGAGTCACTTTCTTACGCCTTCCACCACTGTCATCGCTCGAGCCAGAAGAACAAGAGGATGATCCTCATCTACCTGCTGCCCGTCAAGATGCTGCTGGTGAGAAACACCATCCCAGTTCTCCCAGTATAACTGCAGGTTCAGATCCCAGTTCTCCCAGTATGACTGCAGGTTCAGGTCCCAGTTCTCCCAGTGTGACTGCAGGTTTAGATCCCAGGGCTCCCAGTATAACTGCAGGTTCAGATCCCAGGGCTCCCAGTATAACTGCAGGTTCAGATCCCAGGGCTCCCAGTATGACTGCAGGTTCAGGTCCCAGGGCTCCCAGTATAACTGCAGGTTCAGATCCCAGGGCTCCCAGTATAACTGCAGGTTCAGGTCCCAGGGCTCCCAGTATAACTGCAGGTTCAGATCCCAGGGCTCCCAGTATAACTGCAGGTTCAGGTCCCAGGGCTCCCAGTGTGACTGCAGGTTCAGATCCCAGGGCTCCCAGTATAACTGCAGGTTCAGATCCCAGGGCTCCCAGTATAACTGCAGGTTCAGGTCCCAGGGCTCCCAGTGTGACTGCAGGTTCAGGTCCCAGGGCTCCCAGTATAACTGCAGGTTCAGGTCCCAGGGCTCCCAGTATAACTGCAGGTTCAGATCCCAGGGCTCCCAGTATAACTGCAGGTTCAGGTCCCAGGGCTCCCAGTATAACTGCAGGTTTAGATCCCAGGGCTCCCAGTATAACTGCAGGTTCAGATCCCAGGGCTCCCAGTATAACTGCAGGTTCAGATCCCAGGGCTCCCAGTATAACTGCAGGTTCAGATCCCAGGGCTCCCAGTATAACTGCAGGTTCAGGTCCCAGGGCTCCCAGTATAACTGCAGGTTCAGGTCCCAGGGCTCCCAGTATAACTGCAGGTTCAGATCCCAGGGCTCCCAGTATGACTGCAGGTTCAGGTCCCAGGGCTCCCAGTATGACTGCAGGTTCAGGTCCCAGGGCTCCCAGTATGACTGCAGGTTCAGATCCCAGGGCTCCCAGTATGACTGCAGGTTCAGATCCCAGGGCTCCCAGTATAACTGCAGGTTCAGATCCCAGGGCTCCCAGTGTGACTGCAGGTTCAGGTCCCAGGGCTCCCAGTATAACTGCAGGTTCAGGTCCCAGGGCTCCCAGTATAACTGCAGGTTCAGATCCCAGGGCTCCCAGTATAACTGCAGCTTGTTGCTGGTGTTTCAGGGTCACATGCCGACTCATCAGCTCCTGAGGAAATATGACCTCATGCAGTTTGCCGACGTCACCAAAGGCGTGAGGTAAGCAGGGGGTTGGAGGCGGTAAAGCAGGAAGTGACATCATGGCGTCAGGTGACCTGTGTGTGTGTGTGTGTGTCAGTGAAGGGAACCTGCTGCTGCTGAACGAGGCTTTGTCCAAACACGAGACCTTCTTCATCCGCTGTGGGATCTTCCTCATCCTGGAGAAGCTGAAGATCATCACCTACAGGAACCTCTTCAAGAAAGTGTGAGTTTCTCAGATCCTGTTCGTCAGATAAATGAAGACGCGTCAGTGTTTCAGTGGACGTCAACACGAGTGATCGGGTCACTGTGAGCCGGACTCGGTATGAAACTAGTGTCCCCCTTTAGATTTGTTCATCCAGGTACTTGCCTCGTAGTTTCGGCCGTCATCATTTGTTGACATTCCCCCAACTACTCATACATGGACGCTTGGTCACGGCCCCGTGGCGTCGCTTTTTAACACCCGGGGTATCACTTAAGCGTTGTTTTTGGACGTGTAGGGCTTCCGCGGTCATGTTAACGAAATATCAACCCGTTCTCACTCGTCACATATGGACACATCAAGACCCGTCGGCGTCAGTTTGTAACGCACTGGGGAACCCTGTAGTGTCAGCTTTGAACGCTAAAAATAGGTGTAGGATATTTAACTGAAAAGTCAGAGTTAGGAGGTGGACGGTGGGCCAGAAACGGGACTTTCATCCAGGAGACTGGTGTTTGTTTCCCGTGTGGAACAAAAACATTAAATGTATTTTTTTATTTATTATGCAAGTCACTTAAATAACGTATGTGAACGGAGTTATTTTATTAACCCAAACCGTGACTTTTCTATTTTGAAAGTCTAACCAGATGTTCCACATTTATTGTCGCTAACTTGGCTGCGGAGCCCTAAACGTCGATGCTAAATGTTCGACGCCAAGTGGTCTTGACCAAGCGTCCATATGTGACGAGTTAAGAGTGAGAATGTGTTGTAAATTTGCAGCGGCCAGTTAGACTTTCAAAATAAAAGTAGTGGTTTTAGGAAAAGATCACTGCTAAAATAAATATGTAACTTTACCTCTCGTAAGTTACGCAACTTGAATAAAAACATTAAATGTTAGTTTTAGTTTCACACGGGGAAACAAACACCGGTCTCCTGACTGGAAGTGTCGCCCTCCCGCCTTTAATACGCCCACTGATCGTGTTGAGCCGCTGGCGGCCGCTTGGTGACCTCGGCTGATTCCTGTCTGCAGGTATCTGTTGTTGAGGACTCACCAGCTGCCTCTGGACGCCTTCCTGGTGGCTCTGAAGATGATGCAGGTGGAGGACGTCGACATCGACGAGGTGCAGTGTATCCTCGCCAACCTGATCTACATGGTGAGGTCACACACACACACACAGGAAACAACAACCTGGGAGTCAACGGAGGACAAACGTTGATCTCTTCTGTGTTTTCTGTCTCTCTCAGGGTCACATCAAAGGTTACATCTCCCATCAGCACCAGAAACTTGTGGTCAGTAAACAGAATCCATTCCCTCCTCTGTCCTCAGTCTCCTAGACTACGTTACCCACAATCCCCTCTGGCCGTGACGCTCCAAAGGAAACTTTTCTTCCATTCAGTCAATAATTTTTTTATTTTGTACTGTAAAAAGTGTTGAATAAAACAGATGCTGGTTTGTACAGCGTGTTTCAGGATGATTATTTGACCGATGTTTGCAGGTGTTAACACACACTTCATGAAATTAAACCACCACAGGCTTTGGGTGGTACATTGTGGGTACTGGAGTCTTTATTTTCATATTTACTTAAAATTACTATTTCTTATTCAGCACTTTCACATGAGAAATCTAAATTTACAAACTGCTGACAAATTTAGGTTTTACTGTTAGCACAAATATCAAATAAATGCTAGATTCAAGTCACACTCGACTTCAAAATAAAATTTCACTGGTTTTATACGCGTCATCACAACATTACAGTTTGGATACCTCTGAAATGTGATTGTAAAATAAGGTTTTATTGTCAAAGTTATGTTTCTGTCCTGTAGTAAAAGCCAAAACAAACCTCTTTTCCCCATGACATCGCCTTTTTACTCCCATAATGTGATAAAGTTCTCTTCTAAACAGGAAGTTAGGCAGAATAAAACATACTCAGGTTGTTCCAAGCTGTAAATCCCCCTGATGCTCACAGCTTTGGTGCCGAATGCTCGCCCAGACCAGACCAGACCAGACCCTGGTTCTGCTGGCACCAAGGTCATCACCAAATCAAATAAATCAAAGAACCTGGCTCTCAATAACAAACCAAGAAAGAAAATGTAAAGTTGCACATCAGCACAAACGGTTACTCTGGGAAAATGTTTTGCAGTTAAGGAACTGAAAGTTTGGTCCATTGAAGAGATTTTTAGTGAACGAGGAGTTTGATGATGAAAAGTTGTTGCTGTTTTTTTTTTTAAACATAGTTTTAAAGATGGCGGCGGGGGGCGGGCTGTTAGGGATTCTCAGGATACACGCTGACTTGGGGGGTCATGTGGTCCTCTGCGGCCTGCAGCCTCGGTCTGATCCAGCTCATGTAGCGGGAAAGTTTGGTGAACACCAGACCGCCGCCGCCATCACAGCCTGCAGACGATGACAGCAGCAGCCCGGTCAGAAACGCTGTCCCTTTCTGTACTGTGGCAACAGGCGTCCCCTGCAACTGACCGCCACATTGCCCGCCGCTGACCTTTGACCTCGCGTTCCTGTTGCCTTCGGAGGGCTTGTGACTCCTGCTGTTGTAGCTGTCTGCTCCATTTTTCCCATTTTGGGTTTGGTTCTGGTTCACTGTTTGTTTATTCAGCCTCCCCATGGCGCCGTTTTGGTTCCCTGAAGGTCCAGCTGATCTTCCTTGGGCGCCAGTTGGGTTCCCTATAGGTCCAGCTGATCTTCCTTGGGCGCCAGTTGGGTTCCCTATAGGTCCAGCTGATCTTCCTTGGGCGCCAGTTGGGTTCCCTGTAGGTCCAGCTGATCTTCCTTGGGCGCCAGTTGGGTTCCCTGTAGGTCCAGCTGATCTTCCTTGGGCGCCAGTTGGGTTCCCTGTAGGTCCAGCTGATCTTCCTTGGGCGCCAGTTGGGTTCCCTATAGGTCCGGCTGATCTTCCTTGGGCGCCAGTTGGGTTCCTCATGCAGAACATTTTGTTACTGAGCGGATGCGAAACATTCAGCTGACGGCGACACTCCTCCAGCGTCATGTAGACCAACGTCTTGGTCGCACCGACCCCCCGTCTCACGGCGACGCCCGTCCTCCCAGGATGCATCAGGATGTTTTCGCTGAAGTCCTTAGGGGGCAGGCAGAGGTGTATGAGGGTGGAGCTAAAGGGCAAGGGGCCGGCCAGCTCGAGGAGGGCAAGGTCATTGTCGTGGTGATCTGTATGGAAACGGTCGTGTACGTACAGAGCCCGGACAGGGACGAGCGTCTTCTTATCGCCTGAGAGACGAGAGACAAGATGTCAAAATATTATCGTCCAGCTGACTTTTATTGTGACGTGGAAGAACAATGTATAAATATTTGATCAAATTTTAGGACTAAATCGGCCACTAGAAAGTCAGCAGGTTGAAGTTAAATTAGTTGGTTTAAAAGTCTCAATACCGGAGACCACGAAGTAGTTGGAGGGATAGAAGCCGGATCCTGGGTCCAGGAAGAGGCAGCGGGCGGCGGTCAGGACAGAGCGTCGACCCAACACCACGCCACCACAGAGCTCCACCCTACTGCTGTTCACCAGGGACACCTGGAGACAAACACACAGCAGAAGCACATATAAGGTCACAAGAGATGATACTGATTTGCCAAACATAGAAGGACTCGGGTAAGAAACGGGACAGCATGTGGAGAAGAGCTGATTATTGTTATGTAGATGTTAGTAGTGCTTTCTTAGTTTGGGCCAGAAGGAGCGTTAATCCTCTTGGAACGTTTTACAGGAATCACTGCTCAGAAATAAATTAAACTTTAAATATGGAGGTTTTTTGGTTTCAATATTATTTGTGAACAAATCAGCAATCCGTGTGTAAATGTGTAATCTGTAAGAACAAAACACTTTCCACAAACACAAAAAGAAGATTTGTAAACTCACAAAAATATTTTGCAAATATTAAACAGATATGCAAATACACAAACAAATTCCACAAAAAAAAAAAAAATCTGCGTGACACGAATCTATTTTCATTCCACCGGCGGGAAAGCTTGTTTCAAACCTCCGAGTATGTAGAACCGAGATCGACAAATACAAGCGGGCCTCACAAATGCCTGTTCGAAAGTTGTAAATTTTAGGAAGATATTCACAAATGATTTTCAACAATTTATAAATGAATTTAATATATTTACAGATATTTTTTTATTTGTGGAATTTGTTTGTGTATTTGCAGATCTGTTTTTTATTTCTTTTTGTGTTTGTGGAAAGGGTTTTATTTTTAGAGCTTACACATTTACACGCAGATTGCTGATCAATTCACACAAATGATGAAACAAAATTAACTCCATATTAAAACAACTCTAGCTGAGCGAGGTGCCTTCCTGTGATTGGCTGAGAGGATCTTACCTGCCAGGGACAGTTTCCATGGTGACATACAGAGGCGGTCGTGTTGAACTTGCCAGGAAGTCGTCCACAGGGAAACTCCACTGAGGACACAAAGCCTTTGTTATTTCACCGGTTTGAGCTGGTTTAGTAAACATGGTTGGTGTGGTGGGGGGGTCAGACCTTCAGGCAGGCAGCTGCGTCCGTCAGTCTGTAGTTTGAATCCTGACACGCAGGAGCAGGTGAAGGTGATGGTGTGGTGGGACACCGTGCACATCTGGTGACAAGCTTTTGGACCGTCAGTCGGACACTCGGAGATTTCTGAAATGGACAGAAGTAGCTAAAGTAAAAAAAAAAAATCACGTTTCAGGGATGTGATGTAAAGTGTCGCCACGGATACGATGGATAGTTACGCCACAGGTCTGAAAACGTCACCAGAATGAATAAACTGGGGAAACTGAGGATCCCCTGAGTGCACCACAAGTTTTGGTCTACAGGCTACGCCCCTCTTTGGGGGCGGGGCTACGCTTGGCTGTGGGTGTGGTCAAACCTCTGATGATTTGTGGCGCGGAGGTCACGTGACCCTCCGGCTTGTGCGGTGCTCCCAGTTCACAGAGGGGTCCGTGGTGGGGGGCGGTGCAGGAGCAGTGGAACCCCCCCCTTGTCGGTGCAGTTCCCCCCGTGGAGGCAGGGGTTGGGCTGACACTGGTCCCCATCTGCTCAGAGACACAGAGGCTGATCAGACGACGAATAAACAAACTAACGTTTGAGAAATAAAAATAAAGAAACCCTGTGTTTTCTATAAAATGTCAAGAAAATATCTCCGGGCAGGAACTTCAGTACGATTGAGAGGAACTTGTACTTACACTCCATTTTATGGTGCTTTATAGTAACACTCTACTTCATCTCTGAGGGAGATGTGCTTCTTACTGCTCTACATTTGTCTGACCGCTTTAGTTACTAGTTTAGATTCAGATTATTTACACAAAATATAAATTAACTAATAAATGATGACGTATTATTACAGGTTAAATCTACCCAGCAGTTTGTAAAGTCTTTAAAATAAGCTTTTACACTAAAGTGATGACCATATTAATTCATTAGTAATTATAACTTAATAATATATAGTTTATTTTTCTGAAATGGGCCGTTCTGCATTATGTGTACTTTTACTTTTGGTAAATTAAGTAAATTTGATACTAATAATTTTGCAGTTTTGTCTGCAAGATGTTTACTTGTAACAGAGTATTTCTGTGTTATTACTACTTTTACTGAAGTATCTGAGTACTTCTTCCACCAGGCTGTGAAAACCTGAGGTTACAGTAAATTATGTACTTTTAAAAAAACGTGGAAGTAATTTCTAGATTTCTAGATTTGTTTGTTTTATTATTTAGTTTATAGCACTATTTTACTAAAAATCTGTGTATAAGTAATGAAAAGAAATTAACGAAAAAATAAACATCAAATGACTCATGCGTAGTGATAAATAATCTGGCCATTACAAGCACTGCATCTCAGAAATCACATTTATTAATTTGTAAAATAAGAATTAAAAGTATATTTTTCCAGTTTCCATTAATTAAAACCTTTTGATTTAATGTGAAAGGGATCTCACCTTGGTAAACAGTCCAGAAGGCGTACTGAAGAGAAACAAACAGAAACAGGTTCCTGCTTCTCCAAATACTTTTTCATTTTGAGGGCAAAAGGTAAAATGAGAGAAAATCATCTTGTTCTTAACGAAACATCATCTTAACAGCCAAAATTCATGCGCGTCACTGATAATTGTGATCATTATTGGGGAGAGTCTGACCGTCTTGGCGTTGTCCTCGAAGTACTCGCGGGCCTCCTCGTAGTTGCACAGCTCCTCGTAACACTCGCGCTCCAGGTTCCCCTGCAGGATCTCCTCCAGCAGGAACATGTTGGCCCGTTTGGACCGCAGGAACACATCGTGGGTCTGAGGAGCCTGAAACACTGAAAACACAACAGGTCCAATAACTACAACTTAGTAAATCAGAATAAGACATTCAAAGTCGTAACTACAGAAACATTTTATACGATTTGATAATTTGTTGTGATTTATTGTCATATCTCAAGCAAAATCATAATTATGACATATGTTGTTACTGTGAACTGTTTGA